CAGACTGCTCCTGCTGCCCTTGCCCAGCCTTTCCATGATGTGTCCCAGCTCTGAAAGATGGAGGTCCTCAGCTCCTCGAGCTGTCCTGCTTTCTGGGAGACTTTCTAACTCCTGCCTGACCACCTCTCCATCTGTCACAGCTGGGACTCCAACCTTACACATTGCTCAAGTCAGACCTGTGAGCAGAGAAATAAATATTCTTGTCAGTGCACAGTGTCAGTTTTCCCCCGGAGTTTTGCTCCCAGGAGGTCTGCTTGCTACTGACCTACGATCTGTTTGTGTTCCCTGTTTAGCTCCTGAAAGGACACGTCCACTCCTGACCAGCTCATCTGTCTTTGCTGAGGGCACAAGAACCAGGAGGAGCCCATCCCTGCCTCTGAGCACCAAGCACAAGCGCACATCCTCAGATCCAGCTCCCTGGGTACCACTCAGCCCAGAGAAACCCATCCTTGGCCTGGCTTCAGGTAACAAACAAACTGGGCCAGGATCCAGGCTGTGCTGGGGATGGGATATGCTGGTGGAAGAAGGGCCTACTGGAGGTCTGCAGCTCAGCACCTGGTGAATCAGATTGGCTGTGGCTTTGTGCAGCCAAAGTAGGTTGGGGGCACCTGGGAGCTCTGCACTTGCTGCACAATGTTGCCCAAGAGCAGTGCTTGCTGTTGTCTATCTGTAATTAAAGGAGGGAAGTGATGATTGTCCTGCTTTTGTTGTAGGTGCCCTGATGGCTGTGGACAGCCTCTATGCATCTGTCTCCAGAAAAGCAGGACAACCTGGCCCACACCAATCCCCCCAGAAGTCAGATCCAAGTTCTGGAAGTGCCTCGGATGTCCCACCTCCTCTTCCTCGGAGGGGCAGTTCGGTAGGTGGCCATGGGCTCAGCTCCTGGGCCTATCTGCATTTACCACCTTCAGTTTTGAACTGAGTTGGACCCAGCAGCCCCTCCTCCCAGCCCCACTGCTGCTCCTCCCTGGCACTGACATCTCCCCACCAGATGCTGGGAATGCTCTGCACGGAAATGGCAGGTCCCTCCCAATGCACACCATGCACAGGGATGATTGCTGTTATCTACTGCTAGCCAAAAGCCCTGTTGTGCTCCAGTGTCTTTTGAGAGAAAGCTCACTTATGAATTCAGGCGGTTGGCAGGTCAGGCAGGGTACAGTTCTGGACGTGAGCAAGGGTGCAATGTCCTCTCTGGCCCATCCCTCTGCACTGCAGGGACTTCCCTTCTCCCCAGCCCTTTTGTTAGTGGCATCAAGGCACTAAAGCCGTTGTATTTGCGTCTGACAAAGCTGGTGACACAAGGGACAGAGGAGGCCTGACAGTGCTCTCTCCTGTTGCAGAACACACTGCTGTTCCGCAGGGTCCGCGCTCTCTATGACTGCAGAGCTGACCGGGAAGATGAGCTGACTTTCCACGCAGGCGAGATCATTGTGGTGTCTGAAAAGGAGGACGACAACTGGTGGGTGAGTGAACCTGTGCACAGACATGGCACCTGGATGCACACAGCTCCTCTCTCCATCCACCTCTTGCCCCTGTCCCATCACTGTTGCAGCTGCTGTCATCTGCTCTGCTTCCATCTCTCCACCTTTCATTTTCCCTTTGACACAACCTCTTGCTTACACCTGGCCAAGCTGCTCCAATATCCTCAAGTCCTGCATGGACCTCTCATCTCCCACCAGCTCTGCTGCTTTCCTCTCTCATTGCTTTGTCCTGGCCATTCCCTCACCCTATGGCAGCTTCCTTGCCCACCCCACCCTGACACTCACCTATGGCTCATATTGGCCCTTTCTAAGGAAGTCTTAGGAGAATCTTAACAGATTTCTATCTCCTATTGCACACAGCAGCAGTACACCAGCTCTTGCCCAGTTGGCCAGTTGGTATCTCCAAAACTGGAACTTCTTTGGGCAGCTGTGATGGTATCTGCAGCCTCAGCAGAGAAAAAAGCCAGCATGCCATGATTTCCTTCGGACAATTGCAGACAGCAAATACAGACCTTTATCACCTGCTCATTGAGTTCCCCCAGGAAATCCTTGAAATTTGTTTTCGCTGTTTTTCTTATAAACCGTACCTTCTTTGTAATTAGTTTTAGAAATAAGCATTTTTACATGCTGTAAATAAATTAGGAGTTCTAAAGGGGTTCACAACCTCTGAATCTGCCCCAGTTTCCCCAGTATGCTGGAGGCTGTGGGTGGCACAAGTGAGCCCTGGGTTGTGGGGTAGGACATGGCCCTGAGCCCTGCTGCTCTGATGGCAGGTGAATCATGTTTGCAGGAATAGCAAGTTTAAAGATGTTTTGTTTGTTGCCAAATAACCCCCATCTAAAAATGACGCCTAAATTTTAACCAAAATAAGTTCAGATTCTCCATCCAGCCATCAAATGTGTTTTTATATTGGAGAAGAGCTCTTTCTCCCAGATGTTGATATGCAGCAGTCAAACCTCCTCTTGAGCTTCTGCTCCAAAAACTTTGTAGAAACCCCTTCTGTAACATCACTTTTCACTGTTTGTATGTCTTCTGTCTGTCTTTCTGGTGTGCAGATATTGCCCGTGCAGGGCACAGCTGCCCCAGTGCCATGTGTGGGCACTCAGTTCCTCTTCTTGCATACTGTTTCTCTGCTCATTCCTCTTTTTCTCCCCCTGGCATTCTGCAGAGCACTGTGCTCAATCTGCCAGCTGTTGCTCTGACTTGCTCCCAGATGTAATGCTCAAGCAACTGCTCCATCCTCCCTAGGACGAGGAGTGGCTCCAGAGAGAGCCTCCAGTGAACAAACCTGGTTCTTCACATTTCACTCAGGTGGCCTGAAGAGCATCTTGAAATTTTGTCTTCAGCAGACCAGCTCTGTTTAAGTCTGGTGCAGTGCTGCATTGCATGGCCCTTCGGGCAGCTAGGGATCTGCAGGAACATCCCCTCTGAGGGCTGTCCCTGTATGGGAAGTGGCTCATGGAGCTGGGGTTCTGGGATGCGTGTCCTGGCCCAGAGGCAGGACTATGGGATCAACCAACAGTGGCTGTGAAAGTACACTGCCTCATTCCCTGTGCCATGCTCAACACTCCTTTTCTTCTCTTTCTCCCTGCAGAAAGGCTGGATTGAAGGGCAGCCCCACAGGCAAGGCGCCTTCCCTGCTTCCTTCGTTCATGTGCTCAACGAATAGGAGCTGCTTTGATCTGGGAGGGAAGATCTCATCAGCTGCTTGGAATGTGAAACCCCCAAGCTCCCATCTGCATCCTCACCCCCAGCATCACCTCTCCTCCCCTGGGCCAGTGGTGCTGAGGCCCCAGAGCCCCACATACTGCAGGCCTTGGGGCTGGGGTTTGTGGGTGATGCGTGCTGGCTGCCAGCAGATGCTCAACATACAAAAGAAGAGAATGGGGCAAACTTCAGTGCCCTTCCCTGAGTTTGCTGCCTGTGTTGAGTGTTGTGGAGATGCGCCGCTGCCTTGCAGGGCTGTGGGGCTGTGAGTGGAGCCGTGCTGTTGTGCAAAGCCCTGGGATGGAGGCTTCTGCTGAGGACAGAGCACAGTGTGAGCCTGGAAAGACAAATGTCTGCTGAAGCCAGCAGAACGGAGTGCTCGTGCCATCCCTGCTGCCTGCACTGGGTTTCACTGCTGGTGCTCCAGAAAACTTGCTCTGTGGCAGCTCGGGGCATGGCTCCAGCAGCACCTGGCTCTAGGAGTGATGGACAAGTCCTCTGAGCCCACTGCCAGTAAATCCCAGTGCTTCGGTGCTTTGTGTTGTGCATGGCTGTTCTGCTTTGTGTTTCCCTCTCCATCTCTTTTCCCTTCAGCATTCTTCCTTCAGCATCCAACATCTTCAGGTGAAATCACTCATGGTTCAGCTTCCAAAGCTTTTCTCCAGGGCCTGGCACATGTCTCAGTCTTCCTCTCTCCTTCCTGAGCCAAAATCCTGTCCTGGTGTCATAAGCAAACCAAGCACTGGATGCACCAGGCTGTAGAGAGTGGAGGTTGAACCATCCCAGCATGACTTAAAGGGTCAAGAGGGCAAAGCTATGCCAGGCAGCTCCTTCCACCCTCGGTTATCAGTCAGATAGGAGCTAACCTTTGTACAAGTCTTCTGTGCGTATCCTTAGTTACAGCAAATATGTGCTTTTCCCTTGGTTAGCGTAACCATCCTTGAAGCTGTTAAGGAACTCTTAATCGCTCTGCAAGGACTAAACTTGTCTTTGAAGATCGGAGCACCTTGAGAAAAGGTAGTTAAGGTAGCTAGCCTGCAGGAAGGGAGATTAGCCCTGTCTTTAACTGACCAGTTGTAGGCTGGATGCTGTATGAGGGTTGTGGTCAAGTGATAAAAATACGCATTAAAAAGTGTCATGAAATCTTGGAGTGTGCTAGCTTTGTGGGAGACCACCCAGCACTTCTGCAACCTTGCAATAAATCCATAGCTGTGTGAGTGAGATTGGCTCACTGCACGCCCTCAGGGGTCCGCCTTTTGGACAGCAGTTCTCTGGAAACCTGATGGATGGCCTCGCCTCGTCAGGATCCATTTGCTGCAGTAGGTGAGGAATGGGGGCTGGTCAGACTCTGCACACCGCCGGCCTTTTGGCTGGGGATTCCATTGGGTTCTCATCTCTGTTTGGGTGGTGACACTAAGCACAATGCTTCAGTGAGGTACTGACTTGATGGTGTCGGGGGGAATAAGAGGCTTTGGTTGTTGGCTTTGGTTGTTTTGGTTGATGACTGGCCAGCGTTTGGTGTCTGGTCATATACATGGGTGCCTAAGAGCAGAGTGTGTGCAGCCTTGGGGAAAGATTTTTCTGTTGGAAGAATGGGGACCAGTACAGGGACCATTCCCTCCTCTGAGATTCTCCCTCGTTCACCTCTGGGATCCCTAAAACTTTGGGAGACATTTGATGGCGATCCCTTGACTATTAAAAAACTGAAACTGAATTATTGTAGGCAGAAATGATGATGGGAGAAAAGTGGCTGGAAATGGGAACCTTGAATTCTAAGACAATACTTCAATTAATGTTATTGTGTTGCCGTGTAGATAAGTGGGATGAAATTCCATGTGTTAACTTGTTCTTTATGTTATGAAATGATGCTGCAGGGCTCTGTTCTCTGCCCCAACTTCCCCTTCCTGCACAGACATTGAGTTCTGCAGTGTGTGGGAGCGTCACCACCCGCCGCTGCTCAGAGCCACCGAGTGGCCACGGGGACAGCTGGGGGTCTCAGCATTCCTCCAGCTCCTTGTGCAGCTGGGGAACACTTGGAGATGTCGCTTAGGGCTGAGTGAGGACAGGGACAGATCTATGGCCACCGGTGCACCTGGTGCTGTGGCTGCAGTGCAACCCTGGGCCCGAGAGAGACCCAGAGGTGCATCGGGGTCTCTGTGCTTCCACCTTGGCTGCTGGGAGGGGCTCCCGCCTCGCTGGGCTCAGTGCTGGAGGCGTTGGGCACGCAGTGTTTATCAGCCAGCCTGAAGGAAATCAGCCTTGGTGTTTTCTGCACCGGAGTGACTTTGCTTCCGTCGTTCTGGCAGTGTTTTGCTCACACTTCCTGCCCCCAGAGCTCAGACTGGTGACATTTCGGTTCTTCCCAGAAGAGCTGACAGGCTGTAACTGCTGTGGCTGCCCAGGACCGGCCCAATCTCTTTCACCTCACCCACATCCCACACCTCACACCACTGACAGCTGGAGCAGTGGTTCTGCTGCTGGACACGTGCAGGTATGTCTGTCACACTGCAGAATGGGGGTAACGGGGAGACAAACTGAGAGCGACCCACGTCCCCACGTCCATCCTAGAGCTGCCTGTAAGGGGGGCTGTGGGGAGCAGGGGAGCCCCGCGGGGGTGGGAAGGGCTCTGTCCTCCTGCTTCCCCAGTGCAGTGGGAAACCCTCAGCCCCGAGCAGGAGTTGTCCCAGCATCCTGCCGTCGCCTTTCTGGGGGCACCAGACGTGCTGAGCACCTCGAGGCGATAACAGAGCCCTTTTCGCTCTGACTGTGGCTGGATGTGAGTGCTTTCAGCTGGCAGACAGGGAGGCCACGCTCAGCTCGGCGTTCTGACCACGGACAGACAGACAGACAGACAGACAGACACACACGCTGCGGTTCCACCTCCCGGCAGCGACGCGGTGCCCCTGGGAGCCACGAACCAGAGGCTGCGCAGTGCCTGCGCGGCCGGGAGCGGCGGGGAGGGGTTGTGGGAGGCACGGGAACCGGGGGCTGAAGCGGGGGCCGGAGAGAAGATGCTCGGCAGCTCGCCCATGGGCCGGGTCGCAGCCGCTGCGCCCGCAGCGGGCAGAGCGCGGCACGCAGAGCAGCACGTGCTGCCGGCCCTGCCCTGCCCTGCGCTACTGCGGCGGTGCCGGGAGCAGAGCGGTGAGGCCACGGAGCCGTTCGGAAGGGAAACCCATGCCGGGCTGTCTCAGGTCTGCGGCGGGGAGGTGCGCAGCCGAGGGGTGGCCGCGGGCCGGGCAGGGGTTCTGCTCTGCCCACGGTTCCACCGCCCTCCCGCTGCAGGTGCTATGAGGGATGCGCTGCCGGAAGCGCACGCTGCTGGTGCTGGCCCTGTGCCTGCTGCTCGGTCTGTGGCTGTTGTTCCGGGCCTCCGTGTCCGGAACCGGCCTCCCTCCCTCCCTCCCCACCGTCAGCTGCACCGCCAGCTTCAACGCCTCCGCCTGGTTCAGCGCACGCTACGATGCGGCCGTGGGGCCTCTGCTGACCGGCCCGGCCCACGAGCTCTCCCCGGACGTGGTTCATTGGTGGCTGGTGAGTGGGGCTTGGATCTCTCCCGGGCTCCTTACATCTGCCGGCAGCAGGTTTTACGTGCCCGTTGCCCCCCAGCCTTCCCCAGCGCAGCCGGGCAGGAGAGGGTCTTCGTGCCGCTGGGGCTGACGCTGCCCATCCCTGCCTGCCCTCCCCCAGACCCTGCAGGGCACCCCCAGCATCGCCCCGCTCCACGCCATCATCCAGAAGCTCTTTGCTGTCCTCCCGGCCCCAAACGGCAGTGTGTGGGATCCGTCACGCTGCAGGACCTGCGCCGTGGTGGGCAACTCGGGGCGGCTGAAGGGGTCCCGCCATGGCCCGCAGATCGATGCCCACCACTGGGTGCTGAGGTGGGTGACACCAAGGACTCGTATTCTCTGCTCAGTGCTGGCTGGGGTCACCTGGTGTTCCTGCCTGGTGCCCCAGGGCCTGCATGGTGTGTGCCTTCATTCTGGGACACACTTTCCCACCGTCCCCTAGGATGAACAGAGCTAAGACAGCAGGCTTTGAGATGGATGTCGGTGCGAGGACGACCCATCACTTCATGTACCCAGAGAGTGCGATGAACCTCTGGCCTGGCGTCCACCTTGTCCTCGTCCCCTTTAAGCCACTGGATCTGAAGTGGGTGACCAGCGCCTTCTCCACGGGAGAGCTCACACAGTGCGTCGCCTCAGCCATCCTGGTGCTCTTGTGTTGGAAGGCCAGGGGCATGGCCTAGGGGATGAAGGGCTCAGAGTGCTCTGGCATTCCACTGCACTGCAATTTGGGGAGTCTGGAGCCCACCTGCCCCCACAGGGCTTGGGCATCCTGCAGCCCCATGCCCTCGTGAGTGGGATGGAAGCTGTCCCGGCTGTGCCTCTTCCCAGGGCCAGGCCGTGGGACACCACAGGGTCTGCCCAGGGAGCTGTGGGTGCTGTGAACCAGGTGCTGGTTGTCACAGCAAACCATCTGCCCCTGAAGGAGCACTCACAGCTGTCCTCTGGCTTTTGCAGCACCTACACAAGAGTGAAGCAGTTCATCAAAGCTGACAGAAACAAGGTAAGGGCTGGGCAGGCATCCAGCAAGCACTCCCTGCCTGAGAACTCAGTGCTGGTGCTGTGGGGCAATGGGGATGAGGGGCTGATGGCCACCAGTAATTTGGAGTGGCTGTCAGATGTGGGGTGGCCCTGAAAGCATCTGCAAGGCGATGTGGGACCAAGCTCCTCTTGATCAGACTGGGTTCATTCTGTGGGAAAGCAAGTGGGGTACAGACAGAGCTGGGGGACAGTGGGCACAGTGGTGGTAGGAGCTGGCTGTCCTGATTGCAGCTTATCACGCCTCTAACCCCAATCAGGTGCTGATCCTGAGCCCAGCCTTCCTCAAGTACATCCATGAGAACTGGACGGAGCACCATGGCAGGTACCCCTCCACCGGCTTCACAGCGCTGCTCTTCGCCCTGCACGCCTGCCAGCAGGTGAGCACAAACGGCAGCACCACGCACTGCTCAGCCCCCTGGGCACCACCTGGAGCTTGCCACCACTGCTCCACACATGGGGAGGTGGTTTTCCTTATGGCCATGGAGGATTTCCTTTGCTGCAGTGTCTATCACTCACAGGCATTTTGCTGCCTCTGGCTCCAGCTCCCCTTCCCCTGGTGCCTTGTCTTGCACTGAATGCAGCACCTAGTGTGGGTGGGCAGTCATGGCCCTCAGCTGCAGGCCACGCTTTTGCTGGGGGAACCCAGATGTGGTCAACCTGGCTGTGTCACCTCATCCCCAGCTGCTTTCCTGGGCCCTGGTGCTCTGTGCCCACAGGGCGTCTCCTGCCCTGCTCCCCAGATACAGGACTGCACACGGTGGTTACTCACCTTGGGTTGGCTGACTGCCTGTGCAGCGATGGCTCTGCTGCCATGCCACAGGTCTCCGTGTTTGGCTTCGGGGCCGACAGCAAAGGGAACTGGCATCACTACTGGGAAGAAAACCGCTGGTCTGGAGCCTTCCGCAGGACAAGGGTCCACGATGCTGATGTCGAATTCAGCCTCATCCAGAGACTGGCAGCTGAAGGCAGAATATTATTCCATCAATGACACGCACTCAAGAAACGAGGCCAAGCCGTTAGCACAAGAACCGGCAGCTGCAGCAGCTCTTTAGCTTGCTTCTGCCCCTCGCTGGCCGGGGCAGCCTACGCTTGGTGTGTGTTGTGCTGGTCCCACCAGCTCAGCACGGCGGACAGCAGTGTGTGAATGGCAGTAGGGCTCTGCTAAGCCTGGGAGGTGCCTGCTGCAGGTCCTGGTCTTCTCCAAAGAGGACACGAAGGGGCAGGAGTGGGGCTAACCCCGTGCTTTCAGAGCCTGAAGCTCAGCTGTAACTGGACGGTGCGCACAGAGCCAGCTGCCAATGCAGCTGTGAGGGGATGGAGCTGAGATTTCCACCCTCTGATGGCACGTGGGGAGGTTCACTGCTGTTCTTCGGGCAGGCGGAGAGTCTTTACAGAACTAAGGAACATATTTTTATATTGTACCAAAGGAGAGTAAGAAACGAGAAAATGAAGTGCGCTGAGTCAGAACGCAGCAGAAGTGAGTACAGCTGAAATGACATGCTGAATAAACTTTGACAGCACATACAGATCTACTGCTAACATTTGTTTTACTTTCTGAGCCCTTACTGCTCTGCACGGCTGATCACAGACCTGAAGCCCTCCTGACCAGGGAGGAAAGCAACCGCCACCCCACACCTCACTTTTTTTTGCTGGTGCTGGTTATTTTGCAAGCATGTTGCAAAATTCGAAAGCAGTAACCCGTCCAAGTGGATGCTACTAAAGCAGTTGCAAAAGCAGTAGGTTTTCGGATGTTTCCTGAGGAACGTGCCAAGCATGGGACTGCTCAGAGCCCTGCTCCTCCATCTGTGCTGCAGAGCGCAGTGACCAAGAGAGCAGCTTGCTGTTTCCTTTCAGTCACAAACAGTCACAAACACCACTGTCCTTGAATCAGATCCAGCTTTTCCATGCCTGAATCACACTGATCATGTGGAAAAGCACCAGATCAGTCACAAGCTCCCATTTCAACTGCAGGAACGCATTACCACTCCCTAAGCTATTAACTTCATCTGATTCCTGCCTCTCCAGGCAGAATCCCCATTTCTGTACCTGTTTTCTGTTTCTCTTTCACGGAGCCTTCAGCAATTTCTATGCAGTTTTTCCAGTATTCCAGTACGGAGATTCATCATACACCTTACCCACACCTCCAATTGCTCCCAGGTTTTTGTATTACCTGTTTTGAAGTTCTCTTTAACTAATTAAAAACAAACTTCTGCTTAAAAATTGATGGTTTTTATCCTGAAGTTTTGACAGCTTTCTCCCTGCATCATTTGATCCTGTGCCTGCTGTGCTCACACTGCACTGTGAGCTGTGCCAGTCACTACATGCAGAGTAAACACCAAAGCCAATTTAGAGCCGAGGTTAAGAGCACTGAGTCTCTGTTCCCTCCACCGGAGGCAGGAATCTGTAATTTTTAATTTCTGCCTTATTTTCAAGTTCCTCTCAGAATGATTTCACATACACTTTACTCACTTGTGTAGGTCATAATCAAGAAAGAACAAAAATCACTATTATTGCCATACTTTGCCACAATGCAGGTAGTTTTTATTAATAATTTCCAATTCAGGATTGGCTCAAATAATTTAATGATTCTTCCAAATGCCTTACCAAAACACACAGGATGGACTGCATTACAAAATAGAGACAGAGGGGAAGTGAAAAACAACACAATCCAATTTAAAATTCATTCAAATTCCAAACTTTTTTTTTTTTTTTCCTCATCCATACATCAGCTTGCATCTCCCCTAAGAAGAGCAATCTGAAACAAATGCAAACTGCATGGTACAGGAAGCACACCCTGAATGCCAGGTCCCTCCCCACTGCCCTGGGCAGCTGGAAGGAAAGCACAAAGCATTCAGCACATTTTCACAGAGGTCTGGCATACAGCATCAGCACATTCCGAAATATTTGTAGGAGCAATTAAAAAACAAGACAGATGGTGTTGTCAGAAAGGTTTCTGATGACAACTTTGATCCACTGCAGATCTCCTGACAACACAGTACGTTATTCCTGAAGTGTCTCCAGCAGCTTTTTCAGGGGGCAAACTGGATGAAGACGGACTGACACAAAAGGGTTTTTCAGTAGGGTGTGCACAGCCAGACGAGATGGCTAATGTCACGTCAGAGCAGCAAGGTTTGAGCAGTTCCATCCACAAATCAATGCCAAACAACGGATGATGAGACATTAAGAGCAGTTGGGGCCACCTGGTAATTCCAAACCTCTTCTCACGTGCACTTGGAGGATCACACGTAGTTTGTAAAACCTGTTTAGTTCTCCTTACAGTTTGTTTTGTGTGTGTGTGTGCGGTGAGGTTTATATTGTCTTCCCAAGCTCAATTTTCTTCTGGATGGCACGTGCTGAGTGATAAATCAGGGAGTCGATGAATCCTGCAACTAGAAGGAAAAACGAGATCGAGCCAAACGAGCCTCAAATACAGAGCATCTCCCACAGAAAGAAAAACCAAATCCTCCTGTCAGCAGCAGGAATTCCAGCTCCCCCTGACAGAAAGCAGCTGCTGCTGCTGCTCAGAAGACCCACATCTGCATCTCATTAGGAGAGACGAGATCCAGCCTGCAGGGGTAGAGGTGACTGGTTATCTGGAAAGCAATGTCTCAAAGAAGAAAAGATGAGACAAAGACGAGCCATGTTTGCTGACAAGTGAGTGAGGAAAGTCTGGAGAGGAAGCTGATTGTGAGAGCTTTGTGCCATGCTATTGCCCTGACCCAGCTCGCCGAGGGAATGCTTCCCTTTTGCTCATTTCACAGTAACCTCAAAAGCAAGCTGTTCTACCTGAGAAAACACATGCTGCCCTTTACTGACACCTGTTGTAGGAGACTGCAGCAGTTCACCCCAAATCTCTCCCACCAGTACACTGAAGGAACCTATTAATTGTGCTTGCTTGGGAGCAGAGAAAAGCTCAGAGTGGGTCTTCTGCACCACAAAATCCAGACAGTCCTGTGTCTGTCACGGTGGCTTCCACAACACAGGAACTCTGTCTAGCTCCCTTCTTCCTGAGAGAACATGGAGCCAGTAAACAAAGATATTTTTAATGCCTTTGTGAAGCTTAATGTTCTTGGGTTGTTTTATTTATTCGGCACTTCCAATCTAAGAAATAAGTGCTTACTTGGCCCTACATAAATGTAGACGTTTTAATACTAGAGTAGCAGATAAGATAGGAATTGATTACTCTTTCAGTTACTGTAGATCACAGAATCAC